GAAATAAAAAAACAAATTATTTAATTAGATGATGTTTATTTTGTGTTGTAAAAGTTAAATTATAATATAATACTTACTCTCTAAGAATAAAAAAACAAATTATTTAATTAGAAGATGTTTATTTTGTGTAGTAAAAGTTAAATTATAATATAATACTTACCCTCTATGAAATAAAAAACAAATTATTTAATTAGATGATGTTTATTTTGTGTTGTAAAAGTTAAATTATAATATAATACTTACATGCTGGTTATTATTAAGAAATAAAAAAACAAATTATTTAATTTGAAGATGTTTATTTTGTGTTTTAAAAGTTAAATTATAATATAATACTTACCCCCTATGAAATAAAAAAACAAATTATTTAATTAGAAGATGTTGTGTTGTAAAAGTTAAATTACAATATAATACTTACACCCTGGTTATTATAAAGAAATAAAAAAAACAAATTATTTAATTAGATGATGTTTATTTTGTGTTGTAAAAGTTAAATTATAATATAATACTTACCATCTATGAAATAAAAAAAACAAATTAATTAATTAGATGATGTTTACTTTGTGTATAAAAGTTAAATTATAATATAATACTTACTCCCTGGTTATTATAAAGAAATAAACAAAACAAATTATTGAATTAAAAGATGTTTATTTTGTGTTGTAAAAGTTAAATTATAATATAATACTTACCTCCTGGTTATTATAAAGAAATAAAAAATTATTTAATTAGATGATGTTTATTTTGTGCTGTAAAATATTTATTTACCTTTATAGAATTTAGCTAAGTATTATTTTAATATAAAGCAAAATATTTAAATTATGATGTAAAAATACTACATATTTTTGAAATAGTTATTTTCTGTGTAAGAAAAAATACCTTCATTCATTTCTTTTTACTAGGAGCAAGAATTTCCCAAGACCAGTGTTTATTCCTATTTAAAGAAATTGTAGCATATATGGTTTGTATATGATTGACAAATAATAATTTGTATATGGGGTCTGTACTAGGAAAATCGACCTTCCAGCTGATTTTTTTTTTTTGAGTAATTGTTGATCAAAAATTTGACCAATAAAAATTTATTACTATTTTTAGATTTTGATGTGCT